GGAAGCCATGAACACTTTTTTTGCTCAGCATCCTGAGGCTGGATGGCAGAAAGTTCATCCTCCATGAAGCAACACCAGATGCTTTTCCCTCTTACAACAGGGGTGAAAAGTACTCAAAAGAAGCCTAGAGACGGTGACTGACTTAAACAGTGACTCTGCTGGGTGACTGTGCATACATAACAGCAGCCTGGGAGGGATCCTGCTGTGGTCAGACCAGGTGTGAGGCTGTCATGGAGAGATTCAGCTTCTTATGGGAAAGGAAAATCTTTGTTCTGGTATGATATAGGCTGCTAGAATCTGAGGACTCAAAGGAAGAACCGAGTGGATTTCTGTACCCATGATGGCCATGACAGTTGTGGGGAGAAGCCTGGCCTCTCGCTGTTGGAGTATGAAGTTCATTAGACTTTTTGCTGGTGAAAATGTAGCAAATGCTCTGCCTTTTGGTCGAAGATTCCATGCCCTTTGAGAGGGGTTTCTGCAGATGAGAGAGCAGCCTCTATTCATGCTGAGGAACAGCCAGGCTGAACCAGCTCTGTGTCTCTCGCAGCAGCTAATGGCAGATATCCTCATCTTCCCAGCATAAAAATGGGATGATCCACTCCTAGGACACTCTTTTTGCTATTTGTGGAAAAGAAAATTTGCACCAAAGCAGCTATTTTTTGTAATAGTCCTTTTGTAATAGACAGAGCAGAATAAAACAGCTACTTCTGCAGCTCATGAATGCTGGTGACATTCTCAGCATCTCATGTCAGTGAGATGACACACTTGAAGGATTTGTAGAAGAAGCTTCCTCCTGTTTGATTTGCAGATGCCATCACCAGCTTAATCTGAGGCTCCTGGATCCTTTTCTTAAAGGAAGCAAATTTTTCACCATCTTTGGCATTCGGGAATTGGCTACACAGGCAACTCCACAACCCCTAAATTCTAGCATTTGAAGCTTTGTGTATCCTTTAGAATATTTTATCCATTTATTAAACAAAAGGCTGTTTCTGTATAATTTTGCCTTTGACAAGAACACTGACAAAATGTGTCTGGTCCTCCACCAGCAGAGGACTGAGGTGTGCCTGCTTTCAGCCTGAATTTTTTGTCTGCAGAACACTAAGTGTGGTTGCATTCCTGAGGGCTGGGGCACGTACCTGATCACTGCTTGCAGGGTGTAAATGAAGTCTTCTCAGCAACCTTTCTCCTGATGTGTCCCTGCTGAGCTGCAGCAGCTGAGGTCTTTTTTAGCTTGATGATACCTTAGATGTAAAAGGTGGCATGAGGCCAGCAGAAGGGTGCTGAATCCTGATTGTTGTCTCAGATACAACCTGCTCTGCATGCAAGTGCTCCTTTCTCTAAAGGGGCAGGAGGGAGTTGCTGCTCATGTTCCATTAAATTAACTGAGGATCTGCCCTGGATTTCCTGAAGAGCTTTAAGTGCCAGATTAAATTTGGATCTTGTTTTCCTTATGGGGCATTCCTACCTGCCTCAACAATCCCTGGAAAAGAGGAGTAGGAGAGAGCAGGGATCTCCTTAGCCTGGGCTCTCAGTGCTCAGCTTTTACTTTGAATCAAAAATGACCTGGCGTATCTGATGTCAAGCACTGAGTCCTCTGTCTTCTATCTTCTTTTTCCCACATCTAGGCTGGCAAATAAAGTTTATTTGCCTCCTGCCTACCTGCCTGGTCTGTAGGTATCTCCTGCAGAGCACATATTCTGTTGTCAACATACTTGGTGTTAGGCACGATCTCTTTTCTGAACTCCAAGCAGCATCTACCTCCACCTTCACAGCACTGTTAGTGGTGTTCAGCTAATGCTGCAGTATATAAGATGAATCCTTATGTGATGTAATGCTCTGTTCTGTCTCTTTAAAGAAAAGTTTCAGGAAACCTGTAAGCCTTTATAAAGTAAAGAAATTCACTAAAATGACTTGTTTTTAAACTAGTTGTTATTTGTCATGCCTTATTGCAGGCATGCTCTTTATTTTCTGAGAAATCAGCTGTGTGCTAGTTACACTGACAGATCCAAGACCATTAGCTGTTTATGGAAAAAATGTGGTTTGGATTTTGTTTTTAATTGCTGAGAATTAACTCTTGGCCCAAATATTATTAGAGGAAAATCTGATGCTTTCTCTCTCCAGTCCTGAAGCAAAACAACCCAACAAAGCCAAAAGCCCAATTAGTAGGAGAGGTTCCAGTGCAAGCACTCTCCCTCACTCTTTGCTGTGCCAATGCTGTGCCAGCGTGAGAGAGCTGCAAAATGCCACTAGCTGGCAGTGCCAAAGCTGGGGAGCAGCACGAGGGTGTGATGGAGGATTTGTGGCAATTTCTGGGGTGAAGGATGTTGTTTTGGGATGCTGTAGATACCTGGGTTGCAGACTTCTTACGTTGATAGTTGTTGGCACGGTTGGTGGTTTCTGTTGTGCTGTTGAGTCGGGAAGCATGGGTGACTGCAGATTTAACAAGTTTATTTGTTCACCTCTTGAAATGGAAAAAGAAAACCATTACCACTCATATGTTGCTTGGTGATAAGAGCAATAGAGTCTGAATCAAACAACTTTCCCCATGGCAAGATTTTTTTAGCAAAGATCAAGAAGTTCATGATGGTAAATTCCTCTTTAATGAGCTTTGGTGAGGGAACTAGTGAATTGCAGCAGAGCACCTTTTTAAGTTGCTCTTCGGAATGATGAAGGCTCTTGAACCCATCAGTGTTTCTGGGATGTACCTTGGTGTCCTAACTGGCATATCCCATGGTGAAGTCATCCAAGATATGGCAGCACAGGTTAGCTCCGGGCTATCAGGCTGGGCTAATCCCCTGCTGAATAAACAACACGAAGGTTCCTGGATCTGTTCCTGTTTCCTTAAACGGATACAGTCAAGTGCAGGCAATTAAAAGAGAGAGAGTAAAGTGTAGCTCTAGATATGAATACCTGATTCCAGGCTTTCTGCCCAGGGTGTGTATGGGTTTCTTAGGTTTTTTTAAAGAAAAAACTTTGGCGAAACAATTGATGTTTTCCTCATTTTTCAGTGTATTTCTTTTCCTGCCATTCCCTTTGGGAAGGGAGAACCCAACAACCACCCAAACAAATTCCAAACAACGGAAACAAATTTCCTAGAGAAAGGAAAGAGAAAAATTAATTTTGAACAAAGTAGACTAGAGAAATAACTACTTTCTTTTTGCTCTTCTCCCAATCTCTTTAGGCTGAGCCTTGGCAGAGCCTTTTAAAATAATTTTCATCAAGTGAGTACCCAGTTCCTTTGAGCAGCTTTTGGAAATTTAGCAACTGTGGAAGTTTGTCACAGGGGTCAGTGTCTCAGGGGTCAAGATCTGCTCTGCCTTCACCTGGTCAGTTTTGTATGGCTGTGATTTTTGTCACTGAATAGGTGCTTTTTGCCTGCAACTAGGACAGTAGTTGTAAATACCTATATTTGATCACTGAATCTCACTGTGCTATAAAATCTGGAATGTGTAGATGTGACTGTGACCTACAATGAGCACATTTTATAGCAATTGCTAGCTTTCAAAACCTTGGGACCAACAGGTAGGTAGAACAAACAGAGCAAGTGGCATATGTTTGATATAAGATGGTATAAGGACCTGTGAAGTTTTTATTGGCCTTTTCTTGTAAAACTTAGCTGTTGCTCACCTGCTCCTGAGTGTTGCTTCCATTCCATGACCAAGCAACAAATGCTTTGTACCTACTGCATCTTGGCCTGCTTTTGTTATGCATTTGTAATGTGCTGGAGCAACAGCCTTCTGCAGCAGTGACCCCTTACCCAGCCCTTCATCTCCTCTTGGTGTAATAGCTTCTCACGTATGGGATCAAACCTGTCTCGTCCAGCATATGCACCAGGAGTGTGATCCCTGTGTGCCTAAACACATGGTGAATTCCTTCCTTTGAAATTGTAAGACTTATTTTTCTGCATCAGGAGTAGAAAGGAAAGGGTGTGTATTCTGATTTGTTTAAATAACTGGCTTAAATATTTAGCTTTAGTATGGGGGTGGTTTTGTTGTTTCTAATAATATTGTCTTAGGCAGAGATACAGGAGGATGTCTTTTGGGAAACCTCCCAGCAAGTATCTGAGCACTTCAGTTTGTGGTACCCCTAGAACGAGTCTTCTTTAATTTTCCCTTCTACCGCTCTGTCACCAAAAATTCAGTGGTACAGGAAAGCTTTCCCTTATAGGTTCCCTCTATAGGACCCAAACACTGGCCTTGTTCTGTAGTCCTGGGTAAGCCACTCAGCCGGTTGTGCTTAGTTTTTCCCTCCTTTATTAACTGTTGATCCATTGTCCTGCACTGGGGAGGACTGCTAGGAATGCAGCGTATTCAGTGCATGCACAATGCGCTGCAGTGACTAGGGTCATCTAAGGACCAGCTGTGGAAATTTGGCTGCACTCCTCACTTTCCTTTCCTCCTTGTCATAGGGCTGTGGAAAAAAAAAAACCAACACCCCTAAGTTGTCATGTGCGCATGGTGGTCAGGGTCACCTAGATAAGGGCTTGGCTATTGACAGCATTTATCCATGACTTTCCTGTACCTCTTTAACACTGCTTTACAGCTACAAGGGGAGAAGCTTTTTGAGGTAATAAATTGGAAATTATGACCCTGTAGTGGCTACTTTGGAAGTAGTATCCCCATTTTCCAGGAAAAGCAGCTTGTGTCTGTTCTTTCTGTTTGTTGAAATTTGCAGTTTCTGTGTTCAAGTTTTCCATTCTTCAGCTTTGAGGCTTTGAAGCTATTTGGATGCTTGAGTTTCACATGTAATTATCATTCTTCAGATATTGAGTCTAACAGTGCCAGCTGTCACAAGCACCAGGAACCAAACTGGAGGAGCTGACAGTCTCTAGGCATAGGCAGGTGACGTGACTTATCCATGGCCATATGGCCAGCTGAGTCAGGATTAAAATTCAAGTCTTATGATTTTCCTAAAGAATGCCAAGCCTGTGGGAGCCAGCTGACTTTCTGCCACAGCTTTGCAGAGGACAAACCACAGTTTATGCCTTAAGTAGTTAAAATAGTCATGTAAGACTGGTCTCAGTTTCCTCAGTGTAGAAATACGAGTGCTGGTGCTAGCTGTCTTTATGGAGGCAACTTCCTGTTCCGTGCTGTGTCTGAGACGACCTGTGTTTGCTTTCCTGGGCTCTGGGAAAGTTGCCTTGCAGGAGCAGGTGAATTTTTGCTTGCTAAGCTCCAGCACATAGTATGGCAGGAGTTACCTGGTGTAATCTATAGCTCTGTATCAGGTTTTTCAGGTGCTGGACACTGCCCAAACCTGGACTGTACAGTATCATAGCTGACCTTGAGCACAGGCAGCCAAACCCATGGGGGAAGACAGGGCTGAAGTCAAATATTACACACCAGGGTGATTTGTGCATGTTGTGTTGGAGCCCTCTAGACCCCTGGCACTTCCATCCTCCCATTAGATCTCCCAGGCCCTGGGAAAGGAAGTTTTGGTCTCCAACACAGTTTGCAGAGGTGGAGGTGGCTGAGAACACGTTTGAACGGAAGCTGGGACTCCATCTCTTGTGGAATTGATGCTGGTCAAACCATGTACCCCAAAAATAGTCCCATAAAGCTTTGTCAGCACCCACTGGCTACAGCTGGCACCCCGTTTCTGTCAGTGTGTTCATGGGAACAGTGAATGTTTTCATACAGTTTCAAAGGGAGGCTGGACAAGTGTCTTGGAAGATAAGGAAGGAATTGTGCCAGGCTGGCAGTGACTATTAGCTGGCAGATGTCTTCAGGGAAGTCTTCTCCTTGTTTGTCCTGCTGTAACTCTTCCTTCACCAGCCATTCACAGCCACTGTTGAGGGCAGAATGCTGGGCTAGACAAACTCTGCTGTGACCCACTGTGCATCTTTTTATGAGGGAAATCAACAGCTCAAGATGCAGACGTTGTCCTGACTCCAGGTTAGGTGTGGAAATTGATTCTTACTGGTGTTGACCTTTTCCTGCCAGAAGGGACCGGGAAAAACTAATCCTGACAAGAAGTTTTGGTAACAATCACTGGCTTTGTCGCTGGAGGTGGCTTGACTTCATCCCTCTGGCAGAGCCTGGCAGGTTTGTCTGGCCAAAAGCATTAGCTGCCTGTACATATCTTCTCGGCCTTTGCCCCTTGCATTAGGGAAGCATGGTTCTTCCCAAGCTGATCTTTCTGCACTTAAGCCAGCTCTGCTTGCCTCACTTTTGGGGACTGGTCCACAGTTCTGTTACTCCATAGACCTTAGCCTCTTTCAGAGTGGTCCTTTTGTGATGTGCATCGTGCTGATGAAGCTGCTGCCCCAGTCCCTTGCAGTGATGATCTGTAACTAGGGAAGGTGTGACAGCACTTGTTAGGCTGAGATCTGCTTTGTGCCCCACCTGCACCACGCAGTGCCCTTACAAACAGGGACAGAGAGGAAGAATTTCTCAGTCACAGGCTTCTGGGAAAGAAGTCCATCAGAGCTGCAATGTATTTTGCTTTCTGGGGCTCTCTCTTATTTGCTGCTTTGTTCCTCTACAAGTGCTGTCTCACCATTGAAAAAGCCACATCTGGCTTGAAGCCACTTGAAGCAGCTTGGACAAGAGACTTCCTGCTCTGAACATTGAATTAATGGGCTTGGTCTTTTACACGAGTGAAATCCTTTCAGACTTTTGTCCATGTCAGGCTCCCAGCTCTACTAATTAAGAGGCTTTTAACTCAGACAGTGTTTGGGAGCCACAGTGCAGCTGGGCTTTTGAAAAAATGAGGAAATGCTAGAGGTAGGGATGTAATGGGTTGGATTTCAACTTCAAAAAAATGTCTCTGAGAGAGAACAGAACATCCTCCTTGCATCACCTTTTGTTTGCTGCAGCAAAGCTGGGGAGATGTCAACTGCGTGGGCTGCTCTAGAACTGATGAAGCTGATAATAAGAAAGTAAGGTCATCTTTACTTCTGGGGTACTCAGTATGTCTTAGACAGCTAGAGGGATGTTTTAGAAAACATTGCTTACTTGTGCCTTTGCTTATTCTGGCTATTTTCTGCAATCCTGTCATGGCTCTCACTTTGAAATCCCGTTTGCTTTCCACCCATGCTGCTGTCTGGTACAGGGTGATGTACTGAGGCTGTATCTTTGCAAAAGGAATGGGTCTGGAAAAACCCTTCAGGAAGGTGGCGTGTAGAAGCCAATAATTATCATTCATCAATATTATTCCTCACTATAATCACCTGTAAAATCTAGGAAGCATGAGATATTTGGGTCTCTTGTTTTTCTTTCAAGGCCAGCTTTGCCACTTTTACTTGAATATGAAAAGTCAGCTGGTGTTCCTTCTGACTTATTTACTACTTTCACACACAGACTTGCTATCAGAAGCAAACTGACTGTCCAGCTAATGCATGGAATCTAACTAGAGTCTCCAAATTTTCCTGTGTTGTCTCCATAACAAAAAATATGCTTGGTAGGAGGGTTTGTTTGAGAAAGAGCAAGAGAGGAAAAACATGGTCTGCCTTCTTATTTTTTATGCTTTCTTCCTTCCTTTCCTCTGCTGTGTTCCCCAAAGCTTGGGTCCAACTCTGTGTCCATTGCTTGCCAGGGATGTTTACTTGACTAGAAACATATAATAGTACCCATTTATAGGTAGCCTTCTGCAGATATTTATTTGAAACAGAGGTGCTCTGGAAAAACACTGATTTAAAAGGGGGCATGAAGCGTTCTGCTTGTTCTGTGAAGCAGAACCACCCGCTGGCTCACAGACCAGCAGTAACAAACAGAGTCAAAGAGCGTGGGGCATAATTGCCTTCTCCTTTTGTGTCAGCTTCATATCGTTCTCGCATGTGACATTCTTCCTGGCCATCAAGCTCTTTATCCTCCCATTGTACCAAGAGTGCAAACAGAATTAGTTTGTTTGTTATCGTGGCATCTGTACATGGCTTTTAATTTCTTGGAGGTTAAAAAAACCCAAGCAACCCAACCCTCAAGCCCTCTTTGTCCAGCACTGTTTAAATCTGCTCTCAGCTTGCTTGCACAGCTCTTTTCTGCTCTGCAATGTAGAAAACAGGACTGCAGACAGAGAAATCTAAAGCAATCTGCAACAAGGCTTCAAGAATGTGGTGGCATTGCTGAAGAGGAGCTGTCTGGAGAAGGTGTCTGACTCCATGAGATCAGTAAGTCAAGAAGGTGGCTTGGTGTAGGGATGCATTGTAGGCATTTTTACAGTTACAGTGCTAAGCTTAAACGGGTGCTCCCAATCCTTTTTGCTTTAGGTACTTGTAAGTGATGGGAAATATTTTCTTTGGCCTCTGAAATGTCTCCATAGTTTTGTGGTTTCCTTCCTATAAAGGTGAGAGTTTCAGATTAAAATACTGTTTGGCAGCTCATGAGTTCTCAAAACAGAGGCTTGAAGAAAAGTGGTCAGGAGTGCCCAGCTTATTAAATTTTTCCCACTGTAAGAATTGTCTGACCTTTCTTTGTACTGTAACAGCATAATAAAAAAAATAAAAATGGAGCTACTATTTGGAAAGCGTTAACAAGAAAATGTCAGAGGTAGAAGGCCAGACAGAGGACCTGTCTGGGAGAGGGCTGGGAGTGACATTTCTTCTTCTCTTTCTTCTATCACTTGCACAGATCATCCTCCTATCTGCTCTCATCCTGCTGTGGGATTTTGCAGTTTTAATACAGGTTTGGTGCTCAAAGGCATGGTGCAGAAAAGCAACAAGAGAAGGAAAAGTACATATTATTGCCAGAGGAACCAAGACGAGAGAGGAGCAGCTCACAGTGTTTGAGCCCCATTTTAGCTGATGGGGGACTATTGCTGTGCTCCCATGCAGATTTACCTGTGTGCTTTAAATGTTCTCTTCCCACCCTCTTGTCTCCACTTTCCCTTGGCACCTGGCTTTCACCAGCAAAGAACTCGGACTGCACTGTGTGTCTGAGGCAGAGGAGGAGAGATGGCAGCAGAGCCTCCCTGCTGGGTGGAGGGTTACAGATGTGTGGAAGGCTTAGCTACACCCATGTTGTGTTCAGGGTTTTCCTACATAAGGTGTGTACCTCAGTGTGGTGTGCCCCTGACACAAGCTCCTTCCCCCGCTCTGCTCAGTTCATAGAACCGTGGAATATTTTGGGTTGGAGGGGACTTCAAAGGTTATTTTGTCCAGATCTGGTGCTGAATGTTGTTCTTTAAACCCTCGAGGCATTTAACTATATCACGTGTGGGTTGGAAGTGGAGGGTCATATTTGACTGAGTTTTCTCTTTTTCCTGCCCCACAGCTCTTCTGTTTGGCCCTGCCCTGGGGAAAAAGACTTTGAGAAGATGGAGAACCAGAGTGGAGTGCTCTTGGGATACATCTGCTGGGAAGGAAAAGAGGAAGGGGGTGAGGAGAATGGGGTGGCTCCTCATGTTTCTCCTCCCAGCCAAATGAGCAGACTGGAAGATGTGCAGGTGGAGATGCTTGAGAAAGCAAGGGAGCTTTTCCAGCTGTGTGACAAGGATAAGAAGGGTTTTATCACCAAGGTGGACATGCAGGTGAGGGAAAAAAATTCTTCCTCTGTCCTGGGTGGATCTGTAAAGTCATGGGTGGGAAAATAGGGGACAGTGTGGCATGCCTTCACTCTTGGCAAGTGTGGGTGTGCATGTGGCCTCTGTCTTACTCATATTTCTAAGAACCAAACTCTGACACAGCTACTAGGAACTAAAACTTCCAGGAGTGCCTTGCACCTGCAGGGAATTCCTGAGACAAGTGGGATTGTAATTCAAAATTTTGAAGGAATGCATAAAATAAAACAAGTCATGACTTTTCTTACAAAAATCAAGCATGCAGTAGATAGGAAATCTGGAAGAAAAAAAAAATTGTTTTAATTAAAAAAAACCAAAAACAAGCCCCCCAAAAAACCTACATGATGAACAATACATCAATCTCTCAAAAAAACAGTTGAGACAAAAAAGTTATACAATCCTAGCTAAAGCCTAATCTAAAAGCTCACCTTAGACCTGAACTATATTTGCTGTATTTGCTCTACATTTTGCTGCTTTCTGTTAAAAAAGTACTTGTTAACAAAATCCCTGTATTTCTTAGTGAGTTTTGTTTTAAAGGTTCATCAGGAAGGTGACATGTGGATTGTTTTTCTCCTGCCCCATCTCTCCCCACATCTATAAATAACACTTGACAGGTTCATGCCACTTTAAATATTGACTCATTTTTCTTTGGGTTGTGTGATGTCTAATTTTTGTAGTTACTTTAATAATTTTTTATTAAGTTTTTATCTAAAGCTGCACGGTTAAAGGACAGCTATGAGGTTTTAGTTTACACTCCTTGGTTATTTGTTTCTTTGGGTGCTCCTCCACACTAGGTGCTCTGCACGTGTGTTATGAAGGGGAATTGTTTTGCTTCTTGTCCATGTTGTGGGTATGGTCCCAGCAGGCAGAAGGTGACAGAGGAAACATAACTTGCTGTTATGGACTGAACATTTCCTTCAGGTTCTGCAAGAGCTTGGAACTGAATCCAGATACCCTCAAGTCTGACCTCTCTCCCTGGCCAAAGACATGGAGCTGGTATCTGGTATGCCCAGAGCTCTCCCAGGAGCAGCAGTGGTCACAGGAGCTGGCAGTGCTACCTCTGAGCAAGAACGGAGGGAGGCAGTGAGCTAGACACAGTGGTTCGGAAATGGGTTGAGCTTTCTCCAAACAAAATAACCTGAAATTCCCTCTCTGAAGTCCTGGTAGAATGATCCATTAATGGAAAAAATCAATGACTCCAGGCTGGCGTTTGTATCATCACTCAGCTCTAGTGGCAGACTGTTGCACCCTGGGCAGGATGCAGTGCTGAAAGGGCACATTGCTGTGGGGCACAGCTGAGGAAGGCAGGGACAGTTACAAGGAAGGCTTGAGCTATGCCTCAAGTTTGTTCATTCTTTTGTCTTTGCAGCGGCTGCAGAGTGAACTCCCCCTAACCCCTGAGCAGCTGGAGACTGTTTTTGATAGCTTGGAACAGAATAATAAAGGATACCTGACACCTGTGGAGTTCAGCATGGGTCTAGGTAAGGACTGCACAGAGGCAGAGGAAGGAAAAAGCCCACCTGTGACAGGATATTTTTTGTTGGTAAGAAAGTGCAGTGGTTTTGCTGAAGCTGCACCAGCTATGCAGGACAATGCCCCGTGCTCACATGGACATAATTGGAGAAGGTGGGTGTGTATCCTCCCCTCAAGGCTTTGTGCTGCTTTCTCCCACAGCTGTCCCCTGCCTACCTGGCAGAGCCAGCCCCAGAACATCTCCTGCTGGAGAGGGTACATGGTGCAAACTCTGCCTGGCTATCTGATCAGTTGTTCATCTGCACAGAAATATGCCTCTTGGCAACTGTCCCCAGCTGGTAGCAGTGCTGTTCAAGGGCATTAGTAGGAGTCCTGTTAGTAGGCTAGAACAGTGGCAAATAAGCCTTTGTTACCTTCTTACTGTTGTCTTTTCCAAACAGTAGGAGAATGCTAATTCTTGACCAGAAAGCACAGGTGCTCATCTGTCTTGTCAGCTCTCAGAAAATCTGCACCTGTCAGCACCTTCCTTGGACATACAGAAGTGTTAAGCGGATCAGGTCAAAGCAAGTGAACACTTGTGTGGTCTAGGGTTTTCAGAAGTGATGGAAGAGGCTGCTGAATTTTGCTGTCCTGATTTCTCAGATTGTGTTTGCTCCTGGCTTTCTCACAACTTGGGAGGGAGAGCCTTTTAATGCTGCAATTTGAGTGGTCAGAAACAGCCACCATAAGAGAAGTTACAAAGAATTCCTCTAAATAAACCCAGTAAAATGTCTTGGGCCAGCCTGTTCAGGGACTGTTTTATCCCACTGAGTGCATGCTGACTACACCTGTTCCTGCCCTGTGCCTCTCTTGTTGGCTGGTTCCACTGCTTTTGTCAGAAACAAGAGTCCTGTCGGGAGTGGGGGCTTTCCAGTCCAGCACTGTGTTGCAGATGAACGGGCACTATTTGAGCACTTTGGCACCCATAGTTCCCTCTGTGTTGTGACTTGATTATTCCCAAATCTCATTGTAAGAAGCATTTGCCTCAGATGGACATCATGAGAGCATCTGACTCGGTGCCATTGCTGGCAGAGTTAGGCAAGTTTTCTTTTTGAGTCAGGTACCACCCTGTGTTGATAGCCTGGCTGCATGGCACTTGCTCCAGTCTAGGCAAAACACTTAATTTCTGCATTTCTTTATGGTTATTCTTTATGTCTGGCATCACTGAAATCCTTTTCAGACTTTGCCCCTAACTCAGGAGTTTGGCCTGGCTGTCTTTCTTGTGGAGTGTGCAGGGGCAAATCGAGGGAAAGTTGTTCAAGCTGCAATAAAGTCTGCTTCTTGAGAGGGCTCCTTGCTCCTTCTAGGATATCAAAACAATCTTCAAATAATTTTCTACCTCAATTTCCGCATCTCCATCTCAATTTTCCCATCTGTAGAAGAGAGGTAATGAGACATAATGACTCTTTGTCAAAAGCAGACATCAAAAGTGCCTAATCTAAATCATTCTCCTTAATTAACTGTCTGATCATCAGGTTTTAACTGATGATAAGTAGGGTCTTGGTCTCCACATTGCAAGTTTTTTACAGCACATTTTAAGAGTGGGAGAGAAGCAGCTAAATTCTGGATTTATGGAGGTAAGAAGAGGTAAAGTTTGAAGTATAATAACGATAGATATTTTTCCCCTTAGAGTAGCTTCCTGTTCTCATCTCATGTGAACATCCTTGACTCCTGGTCTTGTAGTTGGGATGTCATTTCTGCCTTTTGAACCAAGCGGATGTGTTTTGGAAAGGAAGAGTAACTGCTGCTGAAGGCGTGACCTCTGTATACAGATTGAGGGGCTGTGTTTTAGATAGGATTGCTTGATTTGTTTCTTTGAGAAGGATTTGTTCCCAGCCACCAGTATTTGTTACATGCCTTGCGTAGCAGGAGGTTCTTGTGACATTAGTGCCTCAGCATGAAACAGAATCCAGCTAGCTGGAAGCCATCTGAAGGTGGGACGGGGCAGGAGGAGGCGCTTAGGGAGGGAATTCATTCTGTCCTACACAATCCTAGCAAGAGGCAGTCCTTGTTGCGCAGCGCTTGGCTCAGAGCAGAGGTAGCACATGAGGAGGGAGGGGTAATGAGCCCCTCCTCTCCATTTTTTAAGCTGAGGAACTGCAGCATGGAGCTATTCAGGGCCAGGCACACAGTCCCGGGGAGAGCGTGTGGGACCAGCGGCGGCTGAGCCCGGAGCGCCGCTTCGTGGGAGCGCGGTGACCTCCTGGCACAGCTTTCCGTGCTGGCAGCCCGAGGCCGTGGGTGGTGGCTCATCTGCACGCAGATGTGAGCAGAGCCCTGGCAGCCTGTGGCTGGGCTGGGAGCCAGTTTCAGTCCCAGCACTGCGGAACGGACACTGACCTCACTCAGGACGTCAGAACGGAGGCTCTTCACTGACCAGGAGCTGTATCCTACAGCAGCGGCATGCACGAGGCTTCCCGTGGAGCTCTGGCAGGCTGCCATGTAAATAGCAGCTTATTCAATGACATCCGATTTGACTTTGTTTATTCTTCTTCTCTTCACCTTCCACCAGGAAAGTTAATAGGGATTGAATTGTGTCAAGGGGCTGGGAGAACGGATCACTCCAGACATGAGGAGACCTTTGAGTCAGGCTGGTCAGATGACTTGGACCCTGCAGATGATGATGAAGAGGAGAAACGATTCTGCTCCATGATGGAGCAGCTTGGAGCAGCCCAGTTGTTTGAAGAGTAAGTAGGGGAGTCACATGGCATTGCTTCTACCCTATTTTGATCTCTCAGTACCAAAACTTCCAAGTGCCAGAAAAGACCAAAGAGATGAACTGAGCTGCTTGTTCTCTGAAGCACTGCTTGGGCTCTCTGTACTGCTGCCTTGGGTTTTCATATGCGTGGTAGCAAATGCTTTGCGGTCTGGGTTTTCTCGTTGGGTACCAGTTACTTTTAGCTCAGTGCTTTTCAGTTTCCCAAATTTGAGTTTGTAATACAGCTGTAAAATGGAACAGCTGGTGACAGACAAGTCCAGCACAGGCAGCAAATGAAAAGAAGCATGTGAGGGTTAGATGAGGTAAGGAGGACGAGTGTGCTCTCTGTTCCAAAATGGTATGTGACTGTTCACATATTTTCAGACAATCAGTTCTAAGAGTCTTTGTGAAGGATCTTTGTTCAAGGAGCTGCTTAGAGCTCTGCTGATCTTGAAGAGTGTGAAAGGCTAAACTGGGCCAAGGGGTGCTCCTGTGAGCCTTGAAACTTGGTATTAATGCCCTTGCATGTAGCTCCAGTAGAGTCTGCTGGCTCCAGTGTCATCCAGCCTTATTTTAGGCTTTCCAACATGAGGCATTATGCATTACTGGTTCTTACTGATGCACACCTGCAGGACCTGGGGTGCCCAGCTGCATCTGTGGCTGTCCTTCTGTTCAGGCTTTGTACTCCAACTGCATTGCCATTTTGCCAGGAGCAGTCCAGGTTAGGGAAAGAGGTGGACAGGATTTGAGACAGAAGCTGAGAGTGGTGGAGTTTGCTGCTTTCAGAGGCACATCTGTCACAAACCAGACTTTTTTTCCCTTATTTTCATTGTGATGCAAAGCACCTGCATGTTTTAGTGATAAACAGCTTCTGTCTGGAAAAAATTCTGGAAAGCTGTTATACTTCAAACAACAGGATGACACTGTGAAAGGCCATATTACTGTTCTGGGAACACAGTCTCAACTGTTTATAACTCTGCTTTGGGAAGCAGAAGTCTCAAAGTGAAATTACCTTGTGTTTTATTTTGACCACTTAGTGGCATTTTTATGCAATGAGTTCAGTAGCTACTTCATGTCACATCTTTGTGCCAAACCAGCTGTTGTAAAGCAGTAATATCAAACAGAAGCTAATTGGGGTGAGAGCAGGAATCTGAAATATTTTCACTGCTTTCTCTAGAAAGAAATGGTTTTATTTCATAACAAGATTCAATATATTCTTTTATTTCAAATATGAAGATTTGATGAAATGCTATAACTTTTTAAACTTGAGACAGAAAAAGAAGGCTATCATGCAATTCTGACAGAGGAAATCAAAAGCTTTTTGCATGCTTTTTGGTTGGTTTGTTTTGGTTGTGTGTTTCCCCACAGAATACTAAGGGGGACAAATATATAGGCAAAGAAAAATAGCTGTTTGGATACTGACTATAGGTGTAATTATTCTGTATCTTTCAAGGCAATTTTTCAAAAGTATTTCATGATAAAAAAAAATTTTAAAGCTCTTCCCTAAAAAGAAACATGAAGTGATGTCTGCAGGCTTACAATACACTTTGGGAATGAAGTTCATAAGTGCTATGTTCAAGTTGCAATGAATTAAATGTTAAAACAGTGTAATCGTTATTGCAGGTTCAGAGACTTCTTTGGTTCTCCAGGGCTTCCACCATTGTTATCCTGATATGACGCTTGAGCAAATTTGCATCTTTTTTTTTTGTGCCTCAGTTTCCAAACCTTTTAAAAAAATGAGGAGTGTAGCAGCCACCAGTACTTTCTGAGTGTAAGAAAACCACCAGTGATGTTTGCTAAACTCTTCATGCTATAACAGTTTGATTTTATAACACACAGCAAATTTGCTGAATATTCATTTCTCCAAGTCTTGATGTAGACACCAAATGTGTTATCGATGAATAATTGGAAAAGCAGTCATTCCACGTTTGCTTCCTGGATTATTTTTCCTGTCTTCCTTCAGATGACTTTTTTTATTTTGTCCTCACAATAGATCCCACTCTGCATGCATGCTCTGTCACTGTCCAATTTCCCTCTCTGCTGCAATGATGTAACAGAGATCATCACAGGAGAATGGCAGTTTGCCCTGAGTGCATGTTGGAGTTGGAATAACAGTCCACAAGATGACACAGTAACTCTTTTTCTTTCTTTCTCTCTTGTATGTTTGCTCCAGCCCACATGAGATTCGGGAGCTCTGGGCTCGCCTACGAAAGGAGCGTCCAGAGCTCTTATCCAATTTTGAAGAGTTTCTGTTGCGTGTTTCATCGTACATAAAGGAGGTGAATCATGAGAAAGAGTCAATGGAACAAGCATTGAAGAGGTAAGGAGAACATCATGGCCATTTGCTGCCAGGAGCCAGCTGATGCTTGGATCCTGCCTCAGATGCAAGGAGAGACTGGGTTACAGGATGCACCAGTAAAAAAGATATTTCTTGCTGTAATAAAATGACTCTATCTTGTTCTGTTCCCATGGGTTTGCTTTGCAGCAGTGCTCACCCATAACATTCAGCCTGGTTAAAATCCCACTCAGTTCCACCCAGCTGTTAGTAGGAATATGTTTCCACCCTCCTCTTTACTTTCTGTACTCTCTTTTTCTCTCCTGACCTGCGTGCAACTGTGTTTTGTAGGAAGGAGTCAGATCATGATCGAGAAGTCAGGTGCCTTTATGAAGAAATGGAACAACAGATGAAAGTAGAAAGGGAGAAGCTGGTCTGCCAGGTACCTTCTCTCTTTCTCTCTTGGCTTGAAGGCAACCTTCCTTTGTTCTGAAGTAGAGGTGGTGGCTTGTCTGGCCAAGGAACAGCTCTTACTGTGCTGGGTGTATCTTTACCTCTGCAGGAAGCACTGAGGCATGACAGGAGTAACTTGCTCCAGAAGGAGCTGCACAACAAAGAGCAGGAGCTGGAGAAAATCCTCTACCGCCAGAAGAAGGTAACGGGATCCAAATCCTTTCTAACAAAGCACATCCCCCTCTGCTTTCTGCTCAGGGGTTTTCTGATGGAAAGTGGTGTTCAGCTGCTGAGAGTTTAGCACTGGATAATTTGGCTCTAGTTAGTGAGGTCCTTCCATGTCTCTGAAGGTGCTAAGATGGTTTGTCAAATAATTGGTTTGTCTTTAGCTGTAATGCTCTTCTGTGAATGTTTTGTTCATGCATTTTCTTGTCTGCTTTGTGTTCTCTTGGCACAGTCTTCCTAACAATTGTATAATGCTGGCAAAGAAGATGGGGTAAAAATTTGAAAGTTGAGTTTGAGGGTTTTTGTGGTGTGTAAGGAAGATGTGTATGGACATAAAAGAGCCAGATTTCTCTAGTTCTTATATTCTGGGTGCTCCAAAATGACCTGGAGTGAACAGTTCTGTGACAGGTACATATTGTATACTTGCATTTGGGCATTTGATGACATACTGATTAATCAGTCACATAAAAGATGAAAGCACAAGCTTTCCTTTAGCCTGCCATCCTTGGCATGGACATTTGTATGGGATGGTCCATTCCTGATGTCTTTTTCCATGGTGTCTGAAGAACTGAGATGTGACCCCCACAGAAACAAGGTATGGCAGGTACCTGCAAGGTGCTGGAGACTGGGGGTGTCCCAGTTGAATATCTAGCTGTGATGTGGATGAAACAGCACTTCTCTGAAATCATCAGCTCATTGTCCAGCAGCTGGAAAAGCCAGCACAACTGAGGTGCCTTCAGGAAGGATGTTGAGAGTAAGATAGAGGATGTGTTTTTCCTGCTGCCCACATCTTTGATATGCCTCAGTGTGTGCAGTTCTGGTCTCCTCTAATTCCACTGTGTCCTTCTCGAGCATGAAAGTACAGAGTGCTAATATTATTAAGAAAATGAAAAATTTGCCTTAGGAAGAGAAACCAGGAAAGTCTAGACTTTTAGGTTTTGGAGAGAAGCAGGCTAAGGGAAGATACACGTGAGCTTTATGAACTCAGAAAAGTGATGGATAAGGTCCTCACCAAACTGTTATTCCCCAAGCTCTGCAACAGCAAAGGTGAGGGACGCTCAATGAGATCAGTATGAATTTGATTTAGAAGAACACACTTCTTTATACTGCCACTTGTGCTGGACTTTTGGCCCCAAGATGCAGGCAATATCAGCAGTTCAAAAAGGAATTGGACAAACAAATGGATAATAGGCTTGTAAATAATCATTGAAAGGAAGAATAGTCAGAGATGTGGCCTCTAGCATCCCTAGTCCAGGGACCATAGATGGGAGCAGTATATGAGGGGAATGGACCATAAGTTAGGAGCTCAGGCATGCTCTTCTTAGGTAGTACCTGCTCTTGCTGAGGGTCAGAGCAGAACACTTGGGCTGCTTGGACACTTACTCAAATAGTCAGTTCTGGTGCTCTTAACTCTGAAGCTTGGAGTGAGCTGTGTGGATAATCGGGTCCCTCTTGTGGCCTAAGATCAGTACTGTGATGGTGCTATGCCACAGCATCGCTTCTAAAGACAGACCACATAAATTGGGAGAGTTGTGCGTGATGGAGATTTTTTAGGGAGGAGCAGGTGTGCTTCATTTAAAGCCAGTTGCTTGCCATATTAAAAGATCCAAAAGCTGTAAGCAAGGATTGCTGGCTTCAGTCTCAACTCCACTGCTCAGCATATGTAGTCTTGCTGAAATATTCCCCAGTGTTCACAGGACTGGAGGACTCCAGGCAAAGCTGGGTGTGGCTTGCCCTTCTAGCCTCAGGGACGAGAGGTAAGGCTTGTGTTTCAAGGAACCTGGGAAAGATGAGATCTATTCATTCCTACTCTTGACAGTTGTACATGTGTGCTGGCAGAGAGGAGGGTAGCAAGAAAAAAATTAATCTTCTGCCATGGTGTCCTGCTTTGCTTTTATTTTGAGAGGGGCAGAAAATAGGCTGAGAGAAAGGCAAGCTGAAGGTGTATATGTGGAGGCTGACTCTGCCACCTGCTACCCTGATCAGACCTGATTCTTGGTGATTCTCTCTGGTTATAAGCATGGATTGCATACTATTATTTTGGGCTGTAACTTCTCAGACAGGTACTGCAGTTTCTGTGGAGCAGCATCTTCAGCAGAGGACCCTGGTTAGCTGGGGTGTGGCTGGCTGGATACTGCAGTGTCGCTATGATCCCTCTTGGAATTCCCTACTTGTCATCTGAGATGGGAGGCTTTGGCAGCTGCATCTGTCTGACTCTTTCCCAGACTATGCCTGGGAATTTGTAAGGAATTGAGTCACTGGCTGAGTACATGGCAGCAGGCTTTGAATTTCCCAAATCAGGTTTGTGCTGGGGGCTTGTGCTGCCTGGAGTGCAGCTCTGCCCCGGTGGCATTTAAACGACATCTCTAGCCCAAGGTCCTGTCTCTAGCAGTAGTAAAGGCCACCCAATCACTTCACTTTCCAGGTGTAGTGTGAGATGCCCCTAGCACCTCAGTATATCCTCCTTTAGGCTGCCATGGGCTCAGGAAGCCCCTAAACTAGAGGATGCATTCCAACACCTCTGCTTAATAAGTCCCAACAGACGCAACCCTGCTCCCACCCAGATTTTTCCAGTCCTCCTTTGACCCCCATTTGAACTCTGATTCCTACAATGCCTGACAGCATTGGGCTCCTCATGCTGCCTTAAGTACTTCCTCAGCTGTGCTTAATTGCATTACTTGGTTCCCCATGATGAGAGAGAATTCCTTCCAGTTCACCTTCTAGATGCCACTGGTGGCTCTGTATACTTAGGTTGTTTTTACCCCCTTCTGCCTCATCGTTTACATCTGCTTTTTCAGCTTGTTTTGACAGTTGTGCCTGAAGCACAAAACCCTTTCTCTGTGTTTAACCCCTCCTTTTCTTCCATTGCAGCTGGAACATCAGCTGCAGTCGCTGAACTCAGAGCAGCTGGAGACCCGCGTGCAGAATGAGAGGCTCCGGCACCTGAATGAAAACCTGCTGGAAGAGCTGGAGAAAAGCAAATGGGAGCTAGAGGCAGTGAAGGGGCAGTTACAGAAGCTCCAGAAAGAGGCTCAGCTTGAGCAAGAGCAGAAGGACAGGTAAGGAAAAAACAGGAAAAGGGGAGGTGTTAGGGCAAAGACATGGACAGAGAAAGAAAGGCGGGCCAGCAGTTAAAGAATAAGTATCCCTAGTTAGGAGCCTTGGTCTCGTTAGAAGATTCTGTCTCTTTTTGAGGAAAAGAAGAAACATCCCTTATATGTTTAGGCCCATATAGGCCTAAACAGAGAGTGATATAGCTACCTTTTGCCTACCTTTTGTGGGAAATATGTTCTAGAAAATCAGTACAAAAATATGGCTGTTCCTCAGCCTAAAGGAGGCTTCTCCATGTATTTTTCAGTTCACCATCCCCTCTATAATGCTCTCTTTCAAGATCCTCTTCTAGTAAATTCTGTTCTCATTTCTGGGTTAAATCTAATGATACCTATATAAAACATTGAGAGGTTTCAGATCCTGATGGCAGTGAGCATCCTTCCCATTTCTAGCACCTGAGGAAGTGGAGAAGGATGAGTTGCTTGCTGTCATGTTGGAGGCGAGAAGGAGAGCTCTGGTACAACCCAACCATCCCAGCTCCTAGAACAGTGCTGCTTCCTCTGAATTCTCCTAGCATAAGGCAGGCCCTTGTCTTTGAGAATACCATGAGTGCCCCTGAGAGAGGGATGTTTGTATTTTCTATCCCATTAATTTATTTCCCCTTATTTTAAAATGCCTCTTGCCCAGGGATGTGTTTAGAGTTTCCAAGAACATGCAGAAAGAGAAACAAAGCCTCCTTCGGCAGCTGGAGCTCCTCAGGTGAGAACTGGTGAAGGCTGGAGGGAAATGCTGAGCTCTTGTGCCTGTAAGGGGCTGAGGTTTCTGCACTGTGCTTGTTTCTCCCATGGAAAGCTACAGGATTGTATCCAAGCAGTGTTTAAACCGTGCTTGTTTTTCTAGGTCCAGACAGAGTTGTGCAATTTAGCCAGCTCTGGGACTTTACAGGCTATGTTATTTCACGTTACAGGCTATGTTATTTCACGAGGTAATCCCTTCTCTGGAGGAATTTAGTCTTTCCTGCTGGCTAAGACAACCATGTAGAGCCCATGACCTCAGCTGGGATACATGGAAATCCCAACATGTCTAGTTGTAAACAATATCTTAATCTCTGTTCCCAAGCTGTCTTTCTGTTCTCACTTTCAGTTGTTGGGGTTTACTTTATTTTTTACAAGCATCTCACTGTGTCTTTCCTATGTTTTCCTTTGGAGCAGAGAAATGAACAAGAAACTTCGAGATGAGCGAGATGCTTTTGAAGCCAAGAAGCTGGTTAGTCTCAGAAAGAAAACCTTAATTCCCAACCACCCTCCTTTCATCTGCTGCTGTTGCTGTCACCACTCGGGGGCCTGTCACTTCCACGGGGGACAATGACAAGAGCACCTGGGGCCTGTGTTGTGCTTAATACAGACTTTGCAGCACCTCTGTGTCTGTGCTGGAGGCAAGCTCTGCTGGTTGCTGCTGCCAGCTGCCTGGGTTTAACCCAAGGCACGTTGGCTGGGGACTGTCACACAGCCCTGTGCAGGGCTGCAGTGGGTGCTGCCTGCTGCACATGTGGGGTCTGTGTGCTGTGCCAGGCACTGGGCACATGCAAGGAGGGGAGAGAAGCTGGATGCATCCTGAAGCTCGTGGTGAGGAAGAAGATGGATTTTCAGATGTGCTGCTGGCTGACTGGGCATGGAGTAGCATGGGAAGGTTTTGAAGTTTTTTCTGACCCCCTGAGTTTGTAGCAGATGTTTTCAGGGGTTCCTCTGGGGAGCTCCCCATTCCTGTGAACTCTGCTGGGTGCAGCAGTGAGCCCTGTGTCAGAGAATTAGGAGAAAGCGGATCTCTCTCACCTGGAACTGTCAATCTCTGACCTTTCCCCGCCACCAAGATAAGAACAGATATGTGGTCTATTTTTAGTTATTATTTTTTCATTAAAAAGTTTGTGTTCCCAAATGTCTCTTGCACAGCTGCTCTGCCCTCTTGGACCCATTCCTGCCACCATGTCTTTGCCTGCTCTGCCATCATGCCCCACCTGAAGATCTGGAAGTAGGTGACTTCCTACTCCCTAGCAGGGAGGACAGTGATAGGCTGTGAAAGCCTTTCTGACTGGTGTGTAAAGGACTCTGGAAGGAAAAACAGGGGTTGTGTCCATATATGAGACAAAATTCCCTGCTCGATCCAGAGGCTGGAGTTCTCCAGGTGGAGAGCTGTATAAAATTATCTCAGTAAAAATTTTGGCTAGAGGTGTGAGGTATGTGTGTTTCTAAAATCTGGAAGATTTTTTTTCTTAAGTCTTAATTTTTAAAGCTGCTAACTATGTGGATGTATACCAGAGCTTCCTGCTCCCTCTTGGAAAAGCCTTAAATGCAGTCACTCTGTAGTAGAGTCCAGTGCAAGCAGGCAGAGAAAATGGTTTCTTTTCCTCTTTGCATGCATTGTGCTTCATCAGCTTGTGGCTTCCTATGGGTGGGTGGGTGGCCTGTGGAGACCACAGCTCAGGTATGTACCTCTGTGCGTGCAAAGCTTGCCTGCTTCTCCTGTATTCTCTCCTCCTGCTCCCCTGCTAAGACCTGCTGCTGCAGATGGACCCAAGAGAGAGCCCAGTAGGGAGAGTCGCAGCACAGAGGGGTTGCTTTCTCCCTTCTCCCAGCACTGGCAATAGGGAATGAGGCACAGGGTGAACTACCACCATTGCTCATCTGGCAAGGCTGTGTCTTGCTGGGCAGTTGAAGCCTGTGCTGTAGTAAGTTGGTTTTTTTTCCTTTGGCTGCTCTTGTTTCAGTCCACAGGAAAGCAGGGCTCCAAGGGGTTGCAGAGATGCTGCTATCACCATATACCTGCAGAAGGTCTGCTTGCCAGCCTGTCTCACAGTAAGGGGGAGAGGAAATGGCAATACTTCCCTGCAGAAGCAAAAAGGAGAATCCAGCCTTCTGATGGGGATCCCTAGAGTGCGACACACTCTCTGCCAGAGACTATCAGTGCTTTTACAGGCTAAAAAGAAACCCAAGGCCTTAATATACCCTCTCTTAGTGCTGGGAAGAGTTATTTCTGTGAAATGAAGGTGTGGTGAACAGAGGTTCTTTCATAGCAAAGATTTTGAAGTGGTTGGAAGGAGGAGTTGGGCTGTATGTGGCTGATAGCAACCCAGTCACTGCTCCTTTGCTCTTCTCAGTTCCCAGCTTAATACCTTGCTCTTCATAAGAGTTTCTGGCCTTGCCAGGGTGGGCAGACCCTAGCCCCACTTCACTCTGGGGCACTATCTTGTCCCAGGCAAGACAAGGTGTGTCACAGATAGCAATATATGGTTATTTCTGTCTATGTGCAAACCACTGATGGGTATTTTTAAGACCCAGGGGTTGCAGGTTCAGTTTCACACCCATGACCCATTGGCTATGGAGTTATGCTCGCATGCTTTATGTTGACAGAGCAAATTTCATTTCTGTTCATCATGAAGAATGTTTTGGTACTTGATTACATTTGAGATGTATTTTTATTTCACTGGTAAACCAGAATCCTTCCCATCCAAAACGCTTGTACATGTGCCTTTGTGGAATCCTTGTCATTGTGTTTTACACAGCTGTGATGTCGCATCTGTCCCTTTATCATCCTGGTGAAAAGCCAAATGTTACACAAACCTGGCAGGCCAATAAAGCATGGCAGAACCAATGGCAAAACATGCCCCATTGTTCCTCCTTTCTTACCCAAGTATGTGTTCTGCAGGCTGTTCCCTTTCCAGGTAAGGTGGTGGCAGAGCAGATTGTGCGGCAGTCCTTTTACTCCACAGCTGACTTGAAGGTTGTGACTCAGTTCCAGTGGCCTGTATTTCCTTCTTCCTGTGTGGCTAGAGGGTTCCCTCAGGTGAAGCTGCTCAAACACTGAAAACTTCCCCTTCTGTCCCTGCTGGAGAGCCACTGGTTGTCTGTACCGCAGTCTGGCTGTGTTTACTGGAGTATTGTTATGCACTTGGGGGTCGTTTGTCTTGGAAGATTTGTGCTCCACAATTGTGAGCCTCTCAGTGCTGAATTGTTTCTGTGGCTGGAGATTCTCTTGAACATCAGTTTTATATGTAAAAAATGTTTTGCTCTTTCCCCGCAAAGCTCCTAGTTGGGTCAGGCCCTCTGTGGACTCCAGAGTGTCTCCTTTTGTTAGACTGCATTGCAGTAAAAGAGCTCTGGGAGCTCTGACCAGCAGAACAGCTTCTTAATTTTTTTGCCTTTTAGAATAAGCCTACAGTAAGGATTTTTTGAAGAAATAATCTTTGTAGTCTTCCTGGCTGTGGGAAGCATGAAGGAAGGCCTGTCCAGAGCTGCCTGCAGGTGTTTGGTCAGTTCAAAATTGCTGTGAGAGGCAGATCTGGCAGACTGCAAACCCTTCTTCCTCCACCTTGTCCCCCAGAAATAACTTGTAAGGACATGTTAGAAATCTTCAGATTCACAGACTGAATACATCTTCCTTTCCCCCAGTGCCGATGTGGACACTTTTCCATGCTGTCTCTCACTGTACATTTTGTGTGTGTGGCTAGAGCACTGACTGCTGGGAATGGCAGAGTTGCTGTATGGGGGGAGGAGAGCTGGGAGAGGTGTTGTCCTGCTTTCTCCTTCTCTGGGGAGCTGGTAAATACTGACTATAGGAAGTGTTCAGTCTGTGGTAAGCAGGAGGAAAGCATGGAGAGGGTTGCTGGTGTAAGGCAGAGCATGTATGTTGCCCTCCTTCTTTTCCTGTGATGTGCAGGTCGAAGAAGAGTACTAGTGTCTTTTGAGAAAGGGGCAATTGGTCTGCCCCACAAATCATCAGCATAAGAAAGAGGCAGGTGGGGAAAGAGAGATTCAGCTGTGAGACCAAGTGGAGAACGAGCCACAGAAATAAAAACTCTGGCTAGCTAGAGGAAGAATTCAGTCTGGGACATCACCACTTGGATGGATTTAAAAGTGAAGGAGAAAGCAGCAACAGTGATGGCTTCTTACAAAAATTAAATTATTTGAACTGGGCAAAGCAAACCCAGTGCTCACCTCTTTGAACCTTCCAGTGAGGCATTACCACTGCATGGTGTGGGGCTGCCAGGGCTCCAGCCCTGCCTCCCCAAAGTGCTCTACAAGAGGTGGCGAGTGGTTGAACTGGGGCTGTAATCACATTCTTCATTCCTTCTCTTTTCAACTTCCAGGTGCTTCAGAACAAAAAGTCCCTGTTGAAGAAAGGGTCAGTGCTAGGCAGTTACCTGCTGGAGGACAAGCCTGTCAAACGGTTAGATGGGTGTCTGTGTTGTGTCCATGGTGTTAGTCCGTGCCCACTGCAGTACCCTGTCCGTCAAACCGTGTCCTGTGTCTGGTTCTCCCACCTTGGTGCTGGCTAGTTTTGGGAATGTGGTGGGGTGTAGCTTTCCCTACATGGTGGCTTTAGCTGTCTCTTGGAATCAGGTGGTGTTGGCTCAGCATGAAGCTGAGGATACTGTTCACTAATTTCCACATGGCCCTGCTGCTGCTTCTGCCTGCAGCAATGGGGGAGCAAATCTAAGCATCACCAGAAGGTCTGTGACTGTTAATGGGATGGGAGTCACAAAGGCTGCCTCTGAGTCAGACAGCTCTGTTGAAATGACTGGAACAACTCCCAAGTGTGCCAGTTTGTCCTCAGGCACAAAGCCTGTCCACTGGTGCATCATGCTAGAATCCATATCCCTGGGGCATAGGAGAGGGCAGTAATTGCACTAGGGTTGGGTTCTTCTGGCAGCTGAAAGCCTCAAGGAGAGGGCCTGGCTCCACGTGGGTTTATCGTGCTCATCTCCCTCTATGGCTATGCAGGTGCTCACCGGGCACACCAGGCTTCCTTTAAGCCAAGACAGGCATCACATCTGTGTGGCCAAGGCCTTTTCTTTTTTTTTCTACTCTACATGCAGAATATACAGTGACCTGTCTTGGAGCTGGATCTCACCTGCAATGCTGCCCCCAAAAAAGTTTTAAAGGCAGCGTGCTCCCCTGTTTCTTACCAGGTCTCTGCAGAAAGTTCCATTGTTCCTCAGTTTCTCCTGGTGCCGGCCGCAGACATAGGTCTAGGCTCAGTTTCTTCCAGCTTCGACTCACCCTTCATGCTTGCAATTCTGGTAGTGTCGTTTAAGGATTTAGCTGAAGGCTCCTTGGCTCATGGACTTAGAGAAAACTGGGTAGACTGTGGAGGAGGGCTGATTCTTGAGCCCATGGTGGGAGGTTGCCTGGTGAGGTGTAAGGCAGAGCTCTTTCATGGTTGTGTGACTGGCATATTCCATCCATGGAATCAGATAACCAATTTCTCCCATCTTCCTTCCCAATTATTTCTTGCAAATATCCTTCTAGCTGCATGGAATAAACCTCCTGGAAAGTTTTAATAGCTGGAGAAGTTTGGCAATGAAGTTGATGAGAGAAGGGGAGAAGTAGTTGTTGGCTCTGTCTCTGTCCCAGTGCTGTGTCACACCACATTGCTTGAGAAACATGAAAAAAAATCCATTAGATCTGGGGTCACTGTTAAGTGTTTTGTGTTTGTCCCTTTGCTCCCACTAAAGAGGGTCTTGATACCACTCATTGTGTGATTTTGCCAGCCCTGGGAGATGGCTACCATTCCCCAGAGCCTGAGAGTATGTGTCCATTTTCAAGAGGCAGAAGTTCCAGCTGGCCTCGCTCTGGATTGGCATTTGGGGTAAATGCAGGGAGAGCAACCAGGAATATGAGCTCCCTTTCATAGAAAAAAGTATAGGCATGGGCAGCAGGTAAATTTTGCAAGCCAGATGAAGTGTACTTGCTGGAGTGAGAAGGAAGAATTATCTGGATTCCTGCACTAATAGAAAGAGAAAAATGTTGCAGAGCAGGGTGGAATGTCCTGCCTCTGAAGAGACTGACTGTAGTACACTCTGGTCACTCTAATTTGCTTCCAAATGCAGTCAGTCTTCTGACTAGTGAAAGCAATGGAGAGATCTGTGGTGGTTAAATATCTTCAGCTTAATTCTAGGTCTTCTCACTCCTTGTCTAGTTCTTTAACCATAGAAAACCAGTGATGCTGTCTTGCTCTCCAGCTTTGATTCCAGTAGTTTAAATTGGTTATTTTAGGTGTTCTTGTGAAGGTTGTTCCTCCAACTTACTACATCAGCTCTACTCCCAGTGCATTGGCCTGCTCTTGTGTGGGCACAGTCTGTTATTTCTTTTTGTATGGTATTTAGCAACAAAAACACAGGGGTAATTATTGGGGGTTTTTTTCTTTTTTTTTTTTTTAAAAAAGGAGCTTTCATTTTGTGTGTTTTGCCTCATTTTTTCACTCCCAGGGTAAGCAATAAGAATTCTTGAAAAACCGAAGTGGCAATTTTTATTAAAATGTATGAAATATTTGTCAGCACATACGAGTACAGCACAGCTCTGGTGAACTGTCTCTCTTTTCCTAGGGGAGCCACTGGTGCTTTGGTCACAGGGAGTGTGGGGAGTGAATATATAGAATTCCTGTGAGAGCTTCATATACACTAATTGGATTGCATTGGTTTGCTGGGGATTTGCAACCTCCTTCTTTCCCTGTCTCCTCACCCCCTCCCACCCTATCTGTGCTGCCTGTGGACTTCAATACAGACAACTGGCCTCTGCGGACCTTCCCTTCACCTTCCCAGTGGATGTGGCAGTGGAAGAACCCAACAGAAAGAACTGTAAATACTTCCCAGGCAACGGGGTATGGATGAAGACAGGAGAAGGAGGCAGCACAAACTTTGGAGAGAACAGCCGAGATGAGGAGAGATGGCCCTTGGCAGCAGATCCTGAGTGGTTTAAGATGACTTTGAAGGGTGACTCTGACTGCAGAAAAAATGCAGATGGCTTAGATGCTGCTCTGCTGCCTCCTCGAGTCCAGCCTGTTGGCACCGAAACCAGGGTGAGTGCAGTTACCTGGGGTTATTCCTCAAACACCTGCTAGCTGCTAGGGACTTGAGGGTGTCTGACTCTCTTCCTATCAAATTCCAGCTCCACAGATTTACAGTGCAGGGGTCCAATCCCTAAATCAAAGCACTGCCTGCAGCTGGGCTGTTCAGAGCCTCATGATTTTTTTCCATTGTAGCTCCAAGCACTGGAACCAGCCAGCTGTTCCCCAGATCGCATTTTTAAAGTGGTGTTTGTAGGGAATTCCGGTGTTGGGAAGAGTTCCTTCATCCACCGCTTCTGCTATGACAGGTTCTTGGCTGAGCTCAATGCAACCATTGGTAAGTAATAGGGTGCCTGGCTCATCTGGATAAGGAAGTTGGGAAAATGCTTTTTTGCCTGTATTATAGCCCAGCTAGAGGTAAAGATGGTCCCTGTCCCAGTATTGAATCAATATTGCCATTTCCCTGAACTAAATGGAGTTGTTCTGGCCATTATAATGGCAAGCTACTCTCTCCCCATCCTTCCTCATAGTCGTTGTCACCTTCCCGACAGGTATCGACTACCAGGTGAAGAGCCTAATGGTGGATAACACCCAGGTTGCCTTACAGCTGTGGGATACAGCTGGACAAGAGAGGTAAGTGATCTCTGCCAGGCTCAGTGGAGGAAAGGGCAAGAGAGCATGTAGCTGGTTGCTGTCCCTGGGAAAACCATCAGCTTCAGAAGGACCAGACAGGTCATGACAGCTATGCCAGTGCTGAACCTGCAGCAAAGGTTTCTTCGAGATTTCTAGAAGCTGTGACTGTGAAGCGGGGCCTGGAGAGATTGCTCTGAGGATTGACAGAAAAGTAGTTTTCCGTGTGTCTGACCTGCATGCTTGTGGCTCCAAGCAGTCAGTGCATAGATGTATGTCATGGAGTTCACAGAGTGGAAAGGACTGTGAACCTTTCCAGATCTGGTTCAGCTGTCAAAGCCAGCTGAATTAACATGACCTCTGGGTGAAGGTGATTTGAACTACCCTGCTGGACTCTGTCAGTGAGGTTATTGGCCCCTTTCACTGTCCCTTCTGCTGATAGACTTGTGGAAGTGATAATCCTTGGCAGAGGGATTGTGCAGCTTTTTGTGACAGTGAACACTGGTTCCCCATTTGCAGACCTCTAGTTTCAAAAGCATGGGATACATCTAGATGTTACCAGCAGTGTTGGTGAGGACCAGAGAAGTAGAGGACACATTTGACCCTCATCTGCTACTAGAGATGAAGGCCCATCACTGCCTCCATGTAAATTACATTTTATTTAGGATATAATTAGAAGCTTAGGATGAAAAGCTATTTCATGGGGACCATGAATCTCAAGGGCCTGACAAAAATAAGTACTGGGCATTTTGAGCTAAATATGTTATGGGGGCAGGCCTTCAGGGTGCAGCCAAGGTCATGGGAATATTCTAATCTTCCGTTGTGCCAATGATGCTGTCTCAGTCAGTTAGACCATGCAGAGCTGGTGGGAATGTACTAAATAGGAGTATCTATTGAAAAGTAACTCTCTCTTCCAAAGTTAGCCTTCATGCTGAAGAAATAATTATTTCCGAGGGGACTCCTGTGGTTATTTCAGTGCTGAAACTGAACAGTAAGGGGAGTTGCTATGACATAAAATGTGACATTTTATTGAGGCCAGATTGCAGCAGAGGCCAAATTCAAGATACTGTCTCTGCAGAAGGACCTTTAGCACAGGCCCATGCAGCACTAGCAGGTCTTAGATGTGTACCCACAAGGGAGAATTTGGCTCAGTGCTGATACCAAATAGGAGACCTGGGAAGAAGAAAAAGCCTTTTCTCCTTTTGGAAGACTATTATTTACTTCTAACTAGAGATGTCCAACTGTAAATATCTAAGGAAGAGATGGAAGAACCCCTTGGAGCATGCAAGACTGATGCATGCTACCTTTGATGTTTCTTCTGGAGCATCTTGCCTGCCTGGCAGTTCCAGAGGTGCACCTTGACTGCCAAGGATACAGTCTGTGCTTTCTCAGTTGGGTAGGTGCCAGAATATCCTGTCCTTATTGTAGTGAGAAAGAACAGCTTCAGGTAACTATCTGAAGAGTACAGGAAGGTAACAGCTGTAGGTTTTCTTGGGTTGTAAATAAGAGAGTTTATCCTATGTAGGAAATACACAGTTCTTTAGTGAGATCTCAGGACTTGTATTCCATTTATTAATTCCCAAATTACATTGTTAATTCCATCAGTAGTTTGCAATCAGTGTGGTTATATCATGGGTCTGTCACAAAGTGCTTACAGATTCTAAGGTTTGGGTTTGTTCTAGTTGTTTGGTTTGATTTGTTTTTTTCTTTGGTTGGTTTGCTTTGGTTGTGATTTAGTCACAAAATACAAGCCTGTGGTTTTAAATGGAACAGACAGCAAAAAGTAGATGTCTGGCAGGAGTTTTTCCTGGAAATTGTGCCTAGCTTCTGATTTTTTTTTTATATATAATGCCATTGGTTTATAGATTCAGTAGTGGAAACAGTGTACTGATGCTAAGTTCTTAATTGCTATTTTGGCAGCCCTGGGGCAGACATTATGCATGCCCAGTTTGGACTGTGGTACAGCTTAGTCTGCAGATTCTTCCAAACTACAGAGAAAGATCATGTTTTCTCTATCAGTTTCTCCTTTAACAGGAAATTACCTTTTCCTATCCCACCCAGTTTCTTCCGCTTCTTTCTTCCTGACCTGCAAAGGTCTTCTTTCTTGCTTTCTCAGCACCATGAATTTGGCAAGATTCCTGCTTACCCATGGCTGCCTGGCCTGTCTCAAAGGTGCAGGGATCTGTCACCTCTGTGTAGACACCAGCCCTGAGGGACACGTCATGAACAGGGGCTGCAGACCTTGCAGAGAGCCTGCACTATCAGATAATCTCACTCTGTTACCTGCCCTTTGCACAGCCGTGGTTCTGAGAGTGCCTTTGGTTTTGCCTGGGCTCAGGTTTCGGAGCATCACCAAGCAGTATTTCCGGAAGGCAGACGGGATCCTGGTGATGTACGACATTACGGCCGAGTGCTCCTTCCTGGCGGTGCGGAACTGGATGAGCAGCATCCAGGTGAGAGTGGGACCTGGCCTCCAGTGCTGCTGGTGCTCCCTTGCTCCCCACCAGCTCCAACAGCCTGTCAGGAAGCAACATTTTTCAGTGCCCCAGGAAGTCCTGTTGACCTTGTGAAGCTGAATTACCAAAGCAGATGACTGTGGCGGTCAGTTTGGAACCAGAGGCTTTGTGTTGAAGGTAACAAAGACAGTGGTAGCTCATTAAATCACGGAGGGCTGTTTCAGTGGCAGAACGTGGTGGGACCTGCCAGCACAATACTGTGGGTCTGTAAGCAGCCCATGTGCACTGGCTACATCTCCTAAATGTGGTCACATCCCATCTGTGCTCAGGCAGGGAGGTCTCCTGGTTTCTGGCCTATGCACAGGAAAGGGAGGTGGTCCTTTTTATTTCCTTTTTTTATTTTAAAATTTGGTAACAATGTATTAATACTGTTGGGTGTTTTATTTTCAAACACTCACTGAGAGCATTTATCTGTGGCTCATATCTTCGTGGGAATACAAAAATGCCTCTCTTTATAATTTAAATTAGTTATGTGTAGATGATCAAGAGGTGAAGGGAAGTTTTCAAGGGCAGTTTTGTTTTGATTGTGCTGAGTTTCAAAAAACCAAGATCTCAGTGGAATGAGTAAGTATAGGTTGGAGAATTCTAATATTGTTAATTTCCACAAGCCTGTTGGGAAATAAAACAACCAACCAACCACTTATGTCTTTGGACTCTGAAAGATCACAGGTTAAGATCTTAAGAACTAACCAGCCTCTGAAAATCAGGTTCCTTTCAGGAGGAAGGCTAAACTGAGCACACAGAAAATCAAACCACATGAAGTCTGTATATTTTAATCTCTTCTTTTCTTCTCCCCATCTGTGTATTTATTTTGTTTTGAAGCTGTTCAGGTTCTGTATGTCATCCAGGGCACTTGAGTGTGGAAATAACTTTGAGCCCTGTTCTTACTCTGACCATGTTCTAGTGAGCCAGTGGAGCTATAGAGGGTTTGACCAGAGGTAAGAGGCTCCAGGAATTGCCTAGGAGTAACAGTTCCTACAGAGACTGCTTACAAGGGGTCAAGGTTGCTTAACTTGCTTCAGCCAGTGGATTTTCAGCAAGGGATCATTGAGTTTAAGACAGCACATTAGACACAGTACTGCACATATAAAAATTACTGAACTTATTAAGAAGATGTGCCAGATCACAAATTCCAAAATGCCTATGGAGAAAGCAGATTTTCTTCAGGCTTCTTATTTTCTGGAGAAGCACTTGTGTCCTGTCTCCCCTCTCTCACCATCCCAGCTCAACATACCAAACATTTGGAATGTTCCCCTAGTTCAAGCTTCCTTTCACAAATCCCTGGGACTATTGAAGGAATGGCCCTTTAATGATCTAAGGGGCCTGATCCTGCTGCCACTGAGGATCTTGTTTGCTTGAGCTGGAAGGATCTACTCTGAGTCTGGGTCTCCAGGGGTCTTTATTTCTTTTGCAGGAAGGTATAGAGGATGGAGCTGTCGTCTTTCTGCTTGGAAATAAATTGGATGCTGTGCAGAGAGAGACCCGGAATGTACCCAAGGTGGAGGGTGAAAGGCTGGCAAAGGTGTGACACAGTGCTCTGCTCTCTCTGACCTGCTATGCAGCCACCCTCCAGCTGGGAGCAGGGGTAGTCTGGCTGGCAGAAAGCCCTTCTTGGAGCCATTTTTCAGTATGGTACCTTCCCTCTCCCTCCCACCCTGTTTCTCCAATGTGGACATGCACCCAGGTCCCTCTGGTACAAGAGAGGATGAGGTGGTGGCCTGTATGTGGCAGACAATGGCACTTGAGCAGGCTCATGTGTTTCTCTTGAGGCTTGATGCCTCATTACAGTCTTTCTGAGGGGAACATGCATAGCTGATTTCCCATTTGAGGGCTCCCTAATGCTACATCATCCTGCCTCTTTCCTCACTCCCCTGTCTGCCTGCCTAGTGGCACCTTGGCCCCTGGGTGGGGGAGACAGGGTTTCAGAAGTGTTTCTTGCCTTCTGGACTTGCAACAAAAAGGTAAGGGAATCAAAGTACCCAGGACAGATGTTTTCTCTTCCCAAACAACTTCCACAGTGCTCCCTTTTGGACACTCTGGCTTGGCCCCCAATGCTGAAAAAGCATCTCCTTCTCCTGGGTTAGTGAGCAGGGTGTGCACCCCAGCAGGGTAGCAGCCACCCTCCTGGCTCCAATGGCTCTTGGCAGGGTTCCTGGGGATGAGGGTGGGCTAGCTCCCAAGGCTGTGGGTGAATGGTGATGGTGGAGAGCTGGCAGTCACCGTGGGTGCTTGCTGTGCTCTCTGGCAGGAGTACAAGGCTGTGTTCTATGAGTGCAGCGTGATGACTGGCTACAACATCATGGAGCCCATGCTGCACATGGCCAGGTCAGTGAACAGGAGCCTGGGACACTTCCCCTGCTGGAGGTGATTGGTGTGGGCTCTCCTGGGGAATGGACAAGAAGAAGGGGGGGGTGTCAGAGGCAGACTTTCTGTCATATTCCAAAAGAGACCTGACTCCAGATCCTTGTCTTTTGTGCCTGGAGAGCACCAAGTGTTGACTGGACTCTACACACAAAGCTTCACCTGGTAGAGCTGGCTGTTGCAAGATTAGGAGTTTAATTCAAATATTTCATCACAAAAACCTTGCATACTGTCCCAGATTTTAAGCTGGTTTTTTTCAGTTTGAAGTCTTCATTTAGCTCTAAGGGTTCTTTCTTCCCTATCTTAATAAGCACTTTAGAGATTGAGCTATTTCAGTGGCAGTAGTTTTAAGAGATAAGATACTGTTCAGCTGAAAGAAATTTGCTCTAAAAGTTTTAGTTTAAAAAAAAACCCAAATGGTTAGTTTCTGGAAAGAAAGTATTTCAACTCTGGCATGAAAACTATCCTTTTGTGTTCTTTTATCTCTTCACCTCCTCCTGCATCATCTATGTAAAAGCCACAGCAGGACTTAACTGTTCATTAACTGGGAGGATTTACTTACCAGGTATCATATCTCCCATAGCACGTGCCTTCAGCATGTTTTATTACCATGCCACTGATTAAGATGGCTCAGACAGGTGGAGCAAACAGCCTGGGATTCTGACATCAATGAGAATCGTGGGAATAAGGCACAGACCACTCACATTGGTGCTCAAATTACTGAACCATGGTACCCCCTCTTGTATGTGTCCAGTTTCTTTCCCTGTTCCCTGGAAATTCATGCTCATTCTCTGTGTGTGGTTTATCTTGCCCAGCTTCCAGAGAAGTTGGGTCTTTAGGCCTGTCACTTACAATCCTAAATGCAAATCCTAAATGGGTGGTGGAGAGCAAAGGGCAGAGGCAAATGCCTTGGTGGGAAGATCTCAGTAACTAGGTTGTGTTCTTGATCTGTGCTGTTCTTTCCAGGTTGCTGACAGCACAAGAAGACAGGCAGAGGGAGAATGCCCTGCAGCTGGAGGATATCAGCAGGAGGAAAGGGTGCTGCACATAAAGCACACCAATGTGTCAGCAAGAGACGTGCCAATGCTGTATCATGAAACTGGGGGTTCCTTTCAAGAAAGCTGAATTTGATGATACCAGCTCTCTAGAGACTTGGGGAAGGTGCAGCTTTTCCTAGTCTGTGAATTTTGAGGCATGAATCAGGCCAAAATGTGCATATTATCTGCACTGTTCTACTTCCAAGTCTGCATGCAGCCCTGGTCTCTAGAGGCCTTTGCTTCTTTGGGGGAATTTGGCTGGTCTTAGCTAGTAACACAGACTGGGCCTTCTGTCTGGAGAGGTTGCTTCCCTGTAAAGGGATGCAGTCTTGTTCATGTTCTTTATGGCAAAGAAGTGGCCTAGCAGCAGAGAGCAGAGGAAAGGTGGGTCTGTATTCAATAGAATTTCCACGTAAGAGAGTAAAATTATTTTAAATTTGGGCTAGCTCTAAGTAGTGATCCATCTATCTCGGAGAGAAGCATCTCCTCTTGGTTCTGCCGCAGCAGTGCTCAGCTGAGAGCCCACTCTGGTGAGTGAGAATGCTTCCACCACTTTCTGCAAGATCTGGATAGGGCCCTGGATTTACTGCAGGATTGGGTTGGACTTGTCAATATTGTAGTTAATAGATTCCGTATGTGATTATAGTATGAACTGATAGGATGAGTCATCCAAATGTCTTTCATTGCTTTGTCACCCCTATGGACCTTTTCACTGTCCTAGCAGTGTCCTGTGTATGTTTACGGAACACAGAGCAGTTGCCCTGGGACCCGCAGGCCACTGGCGTGTGCTGCTGATTCATAGCCCATTGCGGGAGTTGTGCTGTACAAACCAGGGCAGCCATATATAGCCTGTTTTAAGGCTGAATGCTGCCTGTTTCCTCCCATTCTTATTCTTTCCTGAAGAATCTCCAGCAATTTGGAACTGCCTTACCCACAGTCCTGAGAGGTCCCACCAGAGTGCTTTTAAATGCACCTGGGCTGGAAGCACAAGGCAGCTGCCTGTATGAAATGTACCTTTTTCTCTTGCAGGGACCTTGAGCAACAGCCTCACTTTATTGCTGAAGGGCTGAGATAGAGCCTGACTGAATCTGTTCCCATTGGGAAGGGTCCTTCTTGTCACTAAGGGGTGGGGTGAAGCAGGGTGAGGAGAAGCACGGGCAGAGATGGGAACTGTCCCCAAAAGTGCTCCTGGTTGGCATAGCTGCCACTGTGCCTGGGCATGGAGCTCTGGGCTGCGATGCTTTCTGGTTTGCTGCTCAGTGGCTTTCAAAGCCTTGGGATTAAGTGAGATTTTTGTTAGTGCCCTTTCCCCTTTTGTCTTTGAGGCTGTTTCTGTATGTGATGGACATTTTAGGCACGAGATGTGATACTGCAGCTGTGACGCAGCCCCCAGACCTTGCGGCATAGGGAAGGGCTGTGCTTGTCCAAGGTCTTTCCTCTCTTGGGATGAGGTGGTTACTCTGAATGTCTGTTTATTGCACAAATTTCCCTGGGAATATCCCAAGCAGGAAAAGTGCTCTGAGTCACCTACAGCCTATCAGTGTTACAAAGAATTTCCATCATTCCTCCCAGTGCCCTTTACTTCTGATAGGAACAAGGAAGTTTTTCTCTGGAAGAGCAGGATTTCTGAGTAAAAGGAAGAGCTAAAAGTAGTAAGATCCTGCTCAGTCCTTACTGTTGGCTGGCTGTAACTCCCACTGTCCAACTGCACTAACGCCTTTCCAAAACTGGGAATCAGAAAGTTATAAGAGGCCCTGAGGGAACCAGGGCAGCTGGTGTGGAGCCTGGAGTTCAGACCTACAGCGCTGCCAGGGGAACTGCTCGTGTTTGCAAGAAGTGATGTTTGGGAGGGGAGATCCATGCTAAGGTGTTCTGACCATGCACCTCCCACACTCTTTACACAGCACACCCGAGACAAAAGTGTGAAATTTGCCTGACACGCAAATACAGGCCAGTTCTGTGTATTACCTTTATCAGTGCTGTCATACTGCAAGGGTGAGAACCATTAGGTTCTTTTAATGTACAACCTCAAGTATGTTTTCTTAGTGTGCAACCAGTACAGGCAATAAAGAAATGCTGTCTTAAAAGTGGTTGTGTTGAGAGATTTTTTTTCAGGAGCTTCAGCCTCCCATCTTCAATCACTGATCCTAGTGTGACCTTCAGTTCTCACTGCTCAGGAAGTGGCCCGTCCCCCATGGTGGCACACAGGGGTCTTTCAAACAGGGAGAGAATTAACCAGGAACCCATGTCTTGAAGGCAGCTCAGGAGAAATTAATTCCAGTCTTTTTATACCTCCTTTAAGCAGCCAGAGGTGGAGCTGATTAGGGAAGGCAGAGCCATGGAGGAGAAAAAGGGGAGACACTTCCCCAGCAGCTGGAGGTGTAGTACTTTCAGAGAGGATGAGTTCTTACCTTGTTAACTGCATTCATAGAACTAAACCTTTATTTTATTAATGTCCCATGCATCCTTTTCACTAGAGCTGGGAATTTGTTTGCTTTTAATCCTTGTGGCCTGGCATGGCTCCAGCTGGATGTTCATGCATTACAGAACTAATCACTCTGCAGTTTTGACCAAACAAATTATTACTCATTTCCCCTGCTATAAACTGATAGCACAAGTAGTTAATTGTAACGTATATTTTTTGTAAGCAGGAAAGGGTGGATTTTTGTTTCAAGGATGACAAAATGGCACAGAATTTGAGCAGGCTAAGCTTGGACAACGGTAAGCAGCAGGGTGGGGTGTATTACTGGAAGGTCTTTTGTTGTCTCTCAGCACAATAATTAAATGTCCTCTTGGAAGACCCAGAGACTTACAGTCTAAAGGGGCATGGTGCTGGTTTTTAAACCTGTCTGATACCAGACCTAAATGAGACCAGAACTTCCAAAAAGTTTTTCATTTTACTTTCATCCCCCTTTTTTGTCAGAATATCTTCTGTCTCTAAATAGAAGCTCTGGGAGCAGCCACCTATTGTAAGTGACTGCTGGAAACTGCAGCATAAATGCAAATAATGGGTTATCCTGAGGGGGCCATGAGATGAGGAAGGCTGTGAAATAAGACTGCCTGGGCGCTTATTGGCTCCAGCCTCTTAGTGAACAAGTGACTTTTTGCACATAATCTATAAGGTATTTTTGACTCGTATCACAAGAAAGTGCTCTTACATCCTGGGAAGCCTTATCCTGGCAGCTCAACAGTGCACCTGTGTACACAATCAGGTGTAGGGGCAAAAGCAAAAAAGCCAGCTGCTCTGATAAGTAGCCATGGTCCCACAAATCTCTGCAGGCTGGCAAAGAGACCTCACTCTGCTTTGCTTTCACTTGTCTGTTTCATGTCAATATGGTAAGGGTAAGCATAAGAGGATTAGGCTGACAGCATCTCTTTGAAAAGCCAAAACAGGACTGAAAAGAGAGCATTAAGCCATGGTGTTAAGTTTAAAGCTTTTCCACAGGACAAATGCAGGAATTGCAAAGGTTTGAGCTGTTGTTTTCTACTATCTTCTTTGTTCCAGCAGTCTGAACTCCAAGGGCCCATTTCCATTTACACGCAATTAATGAGTTCCTGCTATGGGGATCATGCAGTCACGTTATTTTCTGTTCTGTCACCACCTTCTGATCTTTTCATGATCTTTTTACTTGTTGGTTCCTTAGACTGCAAATATATATATATATAGACCAAGTACTTCATCTCCAATTCTAAATTTATCTCACAGCCCATTATACATCTTCAAATGCTCTGTTTGGCAATCTCCCGTTCAGTGCCAATAGACCCATGGTCCTGCAGTTCAGAGCTTTGTTAGCAGGCGCTCATTACTTACCTGGCTGTTAATGAGTCACACAGAAATTTCGCTTGGCGTGGCTACAATAACCCAGCCCCAGCCTCTCCAGCCTGCAGGGCATGTTTATATAGGTATTTACGATGCTGCAAACACAAGTGTAGCAGCTATGTGCTACTTCTGAAAATACTAACCCACAGGAGACCTGACCAGGTTAAATTAGTCTCCTCAAGGTAAACAAGTATCTGCAGTTGAAAATTGTCTGTTACTCGCAATAAACTGAGGACGGGGAGGTGGTGGTCCTGTGGTGTATCTCGCCTTTACCTACAGGCCCTCCCAAGCACAAGGAAGCACTTGTGGCCAGTCACGCCCATTTGCTGGCCCAAATCTGCTGGGGCAGGGGGGTTATTACGGTTTCCTGTTTGGGCATGAAGACATGGCAAGAAGGCAGTGGTCCAGTGTGGTGGCTACCCAGGGCTCCACCAAGGAGGGGCAGGACCTGGGCAGGGGCCAGCATCTTTTGTGGCTTCCAGGTTCTGCTGCATAGTCCCTGCAACAAATCTGTCAATGTGCAAGCAAGCTGATCCCACAAGGCTCTATTTGCTCACTTGGTTCTCCAGCAGCTCTGAGAGAAGGATACTCCTTGAGAAGGATGAATTGATTTCTGAGTTGGGCACATGGAGAGGTTAAGGCAAGCACCCAGGAAGCTCTAAACTGGCCTTTCCTTTCCCAGATCTCCTCTCTTCATCCCACTCCTGGAAAACCATGTGAGGCCACTCAGCCGCGGAGAGGGCCCGTGTCTTTTCCTGGGAGCATCCCTCGCACAGGGCCGCTGCTTAGCACAGCGGCGTGGGCTGCGGCTCAAGTGAGGTAATGGGAGGATGAGGCAATGTGCCAGTCACGGCTTGATCTTGATTTACCGGGTGTTTCACGGAGAACACTTTTAACAAGCAGGTCTGACGCTTAAAAAAAAAAAAAAAAAAAAAGAGAAAAAAGTCGCTCCAGCTGGAGTTGGGTGTAAAGTGTTGCCTGCGGCAATGGGAACGTCAACTCGAGGCGCAGGAGCTGAGAGCCGGGGCTGCGGACGGCGCCGCAAGGCCGAGCGAGGGCGGCCGGGTGGCGGGGGAGGTGGCCCGGGCCGGGGTGGGCCGGGCCGGCCGCGCCTCCCTCCCTCCCGCCCTCCTGAGGGTGCCTCCCGTCCGTCCGTGCCTGCCTCCCTCCCGCGCAGCGCGGCAGGTCGGGGCGTGCGGCGGCGCCGAGCGGCGGCCGAGGGTGAGGCGGAGCGCCCGAAATGGCGGCACCGGCGGGCCGGGGGGAGGCGGGCGGCACGGCGGCCCCGGGGAGCGGGGCCGGGGAAGGGGCCGGGGCGGCAGCACGGGAGAGCCGGGCAGAGCGAGGGCCCCGGGCCCCGTGTGCAGCAGCGGGGCCCGGCGCTCCCTCCGTCCCCGCCGGCACCCGCACCCGTGCGGAGCTGGCCGCGGCCACCCGACCCCGGCTGTACCGCAGCACTGCTTCGCTTCCCCTCCAGCGCCCCGCGGCATTGCACAGCTTCGCAGGGGCTTGGCCCGTGTGTGCTTTGTTGGTGGTTTTTTTTTTTTCCCCATTAGAAAAGTGTTTTAACCTGTTGCGGGTGGTGTCATAAACTTTGCACTGCCCGCGGTATTAGTAAAGGTGTTCTGAAGGTTGCCATAAATCTTTTGAAACGATTATTGCCCCCCTTCACCTTCTGTTCAGTCGAATTTGCCTGTTGTACAAATAAAGAGTTGGCCTTTATGCTGGGCTTGTAGGACCCTTGGAGGCGGAGGAGGGAGAGAACGAGCGCTTGTTTACCACACGGTCCAGGCGATGTTCTGTTCTGTTCCCTTTTTTTGGAAGCTGCATCAAATGGGGAGCTGATGGCAATGGGTTATTGCTGCACCGTGGTGTTGATTGCCATGAGGGATCTTTACGAATAGCTTCTTCTTCCTGTCCTCTCATGAAGAACTTAAACTGCGGTAATTTTTTTTAAAGTCTGACTTTTTCTGAGAGCTTTTGTAATCAACTTGTTGCAGTATCCTGTGGAATTTTAGCAATGACACGTCTTTATTTCAGGCTAGTCTATAGCATCCCTTAAATTCTGCACTGCTTTGCTTCCTTTGTCCTCCTACAGCACTTCCTGGCTTTCTCTGAGGGTTTATGTGGTGCCTCCTAGAATAAGGGTTGATTGAAATGGCATCACCCATCAGAGGCAGTTTTATTCAAACAGTTTTGAAAGAAGTCCCTTTTGAGAAAATACATTTCCTTTGCGACCTTTATGTCCATTGCCAAGGTTCTTAGGGAAGCTTTTGGTGTGATGGATGGGCTTACCAGCTGGTATTGTGGAGGCTGGAGAGCTTCTTAGTGTGCCACCAGTCAGACAGAGATCTATCCTAGTGCTGCTGGGTGTCTGTCACTGCTGCCAAAGTCTGTGGTGGAGGGAGCAGAGTGCCTGACTTGGCTGAGTGGTCGCTGAGCTCACGGTAACTGGAAAAGTCAGTGCAAAAGTTTCAGCACATTTCTATTCTCTGAAGCGGTTTGTGTGCCTAGGACAGGCAGTTCCCAGTCTGTGGATTGTTGGAAGCTGGTCAATGGGGAGTTGGATTGTTGGAAGCTGGGGTAGCATCACTTATGCTTTATGTGACACATCTGGTGACAGGTGCCTGTCAAAGGCACAGCGCTGGTTTGTGCAGGTGGGCCTGGGCTCTGGTTTGCTACAGCCGCTCTGGTGTGCCAGCACTTGTGCATCACATGCCCTTGCTGGAAACTTGAGCTGCAAGCTGGAGGAGGTGGCAGCTTTTTGAGCTCCTCTATGTAATTCACCTCAGATCACATCCTTGCTCTGTAGTTTGCTGGTGATGTCTTTGAGTTCCAGGCCTGTATTTACTTCTGGTCATATGCTGTATTTCTGCAAAGAGCATGTTTCATTCCACACTGTTGCTTGTGTTCATTGTTCTGTGGCTTCTGCAGTGGCGGAGAATGACTCCCCCAGTTGCCTGGTAAAAGTCCTGGCACTCCCTGCTTAATGCTCATTTCAGGGATCAGTAAGAAAACACCTTTTCTGACTGCTTGAAATAATGTCCCATGTGTGACATTTCATTTTACTCTGGAGTCTGAGGTGGTTAGTCCTTCTTGTACATTTTGTGAGAGTTTAACGAGTTATATTTCTCCTAACTCAAGGCAAGCGTGTTAAAGGGATTTTATTTGCTACTTTCAGTGCAGCCTCCTGAAGTTTCTCTCTTTGGGTGTGATACATTTTTCAGTAAGGGGGTGGAAGAAAGCGGCTTTT